TCGAGAATCCCGAAAACTGAGAAAGTATCAGGAGAACATGATCAGCAAGGAGGTGGCACTATCTAAATTTCCAAGAATTTTTCGAGAATCCGAAAAAGTATCAGAAGAACAGGAGAACATGATCGGCAAAGAGGTGGCACTATCTAAATGTTCAAGAATTTTTCGAGAATCCGGAAAACCGAAAAAGTATCAGGAGAACATGATCAGCAAAGAGGTGGCACTATCTAAAATTCCAAGAATTTTTCAGCATTTCTAAGAATTGGAATTCCGAGAATTGCAAACTTCAAATCGCGAAAATCGAGAATCCGAAAAACCGAAAAAGTATCAGGAGAACAGGATCAGCAAAGAGGTGGCACTATCTAAATTTCCAAGAATTGGTATTCCGAGAATTTCAAACTTCAAATCGCAAAAATTGAGAATCTCAAGAACTGACAAAGTATCATTAAAACGCAGTTTTTCACCCAATCGAATTGAACTACGACTGCGTTCACAAACTCATCAAAGAAGACACATACCTAGTTTCGCCTAGACCGCGTTCCAAGACTCATCAAAATCCGCCCGCCTGCGTGATGACGTCACGACAGGTCCAAAAGAGACGAACGGCACCGTGACGTCATTAACCCCGATCAGCTGTTTTCATCTCGGTCGATGTCTGTCTGCTCCGGCCTGTCTTACGACGCTACGCACATTGTTCCCGCGGTCGAATGGCAAACACGGCGAGCAACACAGGGTGGAGCTGACGGCAAATTGGCCGCATACTACGCGCGTCTCCGCGCGTTTCTGCACGGGAAGCTGTTATGAAACCGGGGCAGAGTAAAGCGTGTTCAAATCCGCGACCCTAGGACGACGACGTTTGACCGTAAGGCGACCCAGTCTGAGCGAAGTTCTGCGAACTTTATCAAGTCCCGCGTCTGGATTTGTTTAACCCTTTCATGACTGACATTACTATTGTTTTTTTATCATTATTTTTTGTTAACGGAGCACTGGCATCTGAAGGCATCAGAGAGGCGAAAAATGTTAGTGGCGCCTACACGTCCCGGTGGTCATGAAAGGATTAATTTCCGACTCGTGTGGCTGTCGTAATAATATCGCACAACGTGTCACAAATCGCGCGTTATTCGCCAACAGGCCTGATATCGGTTGAGAGGGGAAAATGGGGCAGACGCTCAGCGAGCCGATAACGAAGAAGAAGTCCGCCTGCTGCCGGGACAAAAACTACCGGGTGGGCAGCTCCTGCATGCAGGGCTGGCGCGTTAAGATGGAGGATTCGCACGTGCACATACTTTCCCTGCCCTACGACCCGGGCACCGCGTTCTTCGCCGTGTACGACGGACACGGAGGTGAGTGGAGTTGCTCGAGCAACAGCGGGATTAAGGCTGGTCTACAATACATGGAGTAAGCTGGAGTAAGGAGTAGGAGTAAGAAAATAAATCCATTTTATTTCTTACTCCTACTTCAGCTCTTAGGCTTACTCCCGGTGAATCAAAATGCTATCAATCATGGCAAGAAATAAAATGGATTTATTTCCTTACTCCTACTCCTTACTCCAGCTTACTCCATGTATTGTAGACCAGCCTTTAGATCTGCGAACTTGTGTACCGGTACATCCAGCATTTGTGTTATTTCTACGCGCTTGCAGGTGCGGCCATGGCGCAGTACGCCGGGAAGCATCTCCACGAATACATCATCAAGAGGAACGAGTACAAGGAGGGCGATATCGTGACGGGTATACAGCAGGGCTTCCTGGAATTGGACAAGGCGATGCAGAACAACGCCACGCTCAGGGACGAACACGCCGGGACGACCGTAATCGCGATTCTCATCAAGGATAACATTTTGTACAGCGTAAGTCATCCGTCTGGCCTCGGCCGATGCCTCGACGCTCCGAATCCCTGAGCAGCAGTAAAAGCATTGCAGGCCAACGCGGGCGACAGCAGAGCGGTGGCGTGCATCAACGGCAGGGCGGTGCCCCTCAGTCGCGACCACAAGCCCACGCTGAAGGACGAGCGCAAGCGTATCGAAGCCGCGGGCGGTTTCGTCGAGTACAAGAGAGTGAACGGCAACCTGGCGCTGTCCCGCGCCCTCGGGGACTTCATATTCAAGCGGAACGACCGTAAACCGCCGGAGGAGCAGATCGTGACCGGTAATGATCGAGATACATAGGGCGGCGATCGGGCTCTCGCTTTAAAACTTTCCGATTCCGCAGCGTTTCCGGAGGTGCAGCAGTTTACCATCGACAAGGACTGGGAGTTCGTCGTTCTCGCGTGCGACGGCATCTGGGACGTGATGACTAGCGAAGAGGTGGTGCAGTTCGTGAGGCCGCGCCTGGCGCACGCGAGAAACAGCAACGACGAGACGTCGGGCCTCACGATACACCCCGAGGAGATCTGCGAGGAGCTACTCAACTGTTGCCTGGCGCCGGACGCCCTCATGGGCACCGGCTGCGACAACATGACGGTGATACTCGTGTGCTTTCTCCACGGCAAACCGTGCTCGCACCTGGCCGCGCGCTGCGAGAAACCGCCGGACGCGGATGCGTAACCGTTCTAGACTCTAGCGACATTTTATCGTGTTTTACTTAAATTATTATGGACGTCTTACTTTTGTCCTCGTGTCGGTACGTGACTTTTGATATAGATATATCGTTGTGCGACACACTACGCAACGCACTGGCTCTATTATAAAGTGACGAAACATACGTGTTTATAAAATACATTGTATTTATATTTTTACTCTTGGCTCTGCGTAACTTTTACATTGCACTCGTTCACCGATTCATCGTACATAAAAGTACGATGTATATATATATGTATGTATCCATGCGCAACATATCCGAAGAATAAGTTACGCGGAAGCTCAATTAGAAGCTTTTATTTACAACTCTGAACAATGGACAAGACCGAGTCCGGATAAGTATAACAGTTCTCGTAAAATGCGATAGATTTCATTTAGAGTCCATAACGATCCTGTATAGAGGAGACCGCCGCGTTCGCGAGCGAACTGAGCCTGCCGGCGACCTTGTTCACGCCTTGACGTACGCTCTCTCGGACGTCGTCGAGGTCTACGACGCCGGCTCTTCCCGCCGCCAGGCGCATGGATAACGAGGATGTGGGCGAGGTTGGGCTTTCGGTGCCAAAGTAGTCTGCCGACGAGATGCTGGACGAGCCCTCGAAACGACGTAGATTATTCTTACGTTCCCACTGAAAATTCAGAAGCAAACGTCGAGGAGTCACAAAGAGCCGTTTTGCACGCTAATAAAACACGTAATCTTAATCCCCCCCCCCCCCCGAGACATTTTCCGGGAGTGAACGCTTGGAATTTGTGCTCACCGCGTTGTCGGAAGTGCTGTCTTGGAAGTATTGATCCGAACTGATAGCCTTGGCGCTACCGAACTTCTTCTGGGCCTCTCCTTCGGCGGTAGACGAAGCTTTCACGTCGCTCTTGGCCATTACGCTTCGAGTGGAGGGGGCTAATCGTTTAGGCGGTTCCGGTTCCGCCACGATCGTTATTTCCTCGTTACGCGAGGACGGTTTGCTGTTAGCGTAAACGCAGTAAAATTCGTCTAAGGTGAAGAAAGTGTCCGTCTCTGCGGTGAGCACCTCTGCTGTTGGTACGACTTTCGATTCCTGTGTTATTGTCTTCATGTCGCCAAGTGCAGAGTGAGTCGCACCACTAAAAAGAAATGGAGCAAAAGTAAGACGAGCTTACAAATAAATTTATTAAACAAATCTCGCGAGCGAGAGGGCGCATATTTATTACCTTCGTGCATTAAATCCCATTCCAAGACGTTCCGCTTGCGTGGCTTTCAACGGATCCAAGTGCTTCGCTCTCTCTTCCATCTTCTTGGCCTGCTGGCTCAAATTCTGTTCGTACCGCTGGGCCAGACGGGTGGCGAGCTCCTCTTGTTCCTCCTTCGTAACTTCTTTATTCTTCTCCTGCGCCAGCTTGTGCGCCTCTGCGACGCTCTTCTCCAGCTCATCGAAATTTGTTTTAACCCTCTGAGCACCTAAGCTTCCGGTTTTTTTCCCTAGCTGTAATTAAACGATTGCGATACAACTGCGTTGGGGATGATAGCGCTATTAGTCGAGAACTTACACCGCCAGGACGCTTGGATTGAACTGTTCTGCAGCCTATAGTAGGTTTCCTTTCAGGCTGCAGATTGGTTGAGGTAGAATCGAAAAGCTTTACGGAAGGTCCCAGGGAATTAGAGGCGACCTCCGGTGCACTCTTCTCCGTGCTGTCATTACTTGGCACTGTGCTAGACGTGAGGAATGCCTTTTCTTCTGTCGGAATTATCATTTCGTTTGGCAGCGAGTCTAAATTCTCGTGCTGTTTGAAGAAATCCGGCTCGTTCGCTTCTTCCGACGTAATTTCTGTACTACTATCCTCCACATGTAGCTGCAAGAGGAACAATTAGATTTAAGTACGGATATTCTTGAAATACTTGGCCAAACTTTACCTTTATTAGCGTACTAAAGTACTTGCGTTTAGTTTAAGTTTGGGGCAGCATCTGACACTAACATTTACAACTATTCGTGATGAAATCTTTTTGCCAATTTGCAAATCTTTTTTGAATCATTAATAAAATATATTGGTAAAGTTTGTCCAGACATTTACAAACACTCTGGCTGTTAAATGCGACAATCAAGGGGAATATAAGTATTGAAGTACGTGTTAAAACGCGTTTTGAAAATGTACATGTACGTCGTTACATCACAATCGCAAAGACGGACAGCATTTTTGTAAACAATCAAGCATATGTACACTGGAACAATTGTGGATTATCACATATGGAGAATTGCGCACTGATTGCATGACAAGGCCACACGTTTACAAGTTTACAAGGAGTAGAAAGCTTTGGCTGGATGTCGTAAGCGAACGTTAGTATTGCCATAGTATAACAAGTAGGTCCACTCCGTCGTCTGTTTTGTTTTACGTCGATCCTTTCTGCACGTCCGACATTCTGGGCAGCCCAATGAAAGAAAAGTTGTACGTGTCGCAGTGTGGCTTCGACGAGTATGTATAAACACACATACACATCGCTGGATCCTGCCCGCAAAGATCAAAGGGTACAGAGAGTGGACCTACCAGTCATACTATGGCATTGCGGGGGAAAAAAAAGGGGACGGAGCACTTTCTCGGAACATCGACTCAGCTCACCATTGTCTTATTTTTTGACGTAGGCAGAGAAACCTATAATCGTTATATAGTTCATAGTTAGGGCGGATCTAGCACTGCCTACCGAGTGTCTCGAATTCGTTAAATTCTGGGCGAGTACCTTTGTGCCGTAGCGACGCATCGCCTGCGCAGACGCCTGGCCCAGTTTCTCCCTGTACAGCATAGCCGCGCGCGAGTTGTACTTCTGCTGGGCGTCGCTGGTGGTGCAGTTGTGCTGCGCGAAGAACTTTCTCTGGGGAACAGTGAAGACGTGAGCTCATGCCGACGCGATTGTCAGCCGAGTCTTCTCAGAGCGGGACTATTTATGTTACAAGTTGACGAAACTAACAGCATTGGCGTTACCACCCAGCTGCATATTTCTCAGCTGCAGCCACGTCCAGTTCGTGTCAAGTTGGGTGGACCTGACGAAGGTGAGATGCACCCCTAGACCACGGTGCACCGCCGAGCAGTCGATGCACAAGAAGACGCCGTACGTCACGCTGGCCCATGCTGGATTCTTCGCGTTGCAGTCGAAGCATGCCTGAGAAAGGGCGGAGGACTCGCATGTAACATCTCGTAATTGCGGTACATCGTTACAAGTGTTGCGCGGCGTGAATTTTAAGACGGTAGAAATAAAGGAAACTTTTGCCCTTCAGTTCAGGTGCCATTCGGGCAATAATACATTTGACAAGGGTGCTGTTACATTCGTCGACAAATGTAACGTTAGGCTAACTGGAATTGCTAGAGAAAGTAAAAACAGGTCCGCTCCCTCGCGAGATCTGCCCAGGCAGGTCCTTCGTTGCTGCGCCCGATTAACGCTTCAGGGAAAGGCTTGGGAACTTTTTTTTTTCCTCTCGAAAGGATCGCGGGGTGAAGCATCATCGGGATTAATAACGGATAACGACCAAGTTTTACAGAGGTTTGTAACGAGAGTCGCGGCGCGCAACGACTGGCAGCTCAGGAAGACCAAGCAGGCCGAAGCCCCGACAGCCTGGCGTACGCGATCCCGTCGACCGTTCCACCCCCCTCCCCCCATTCCGGAGTCGCTCGTCGTTTCCCGGACCGCCGACGTTCGCGCGCTCGCCGGGACAAACCTTGTTCGTCGAGACCGCCCGGAGCCTCTTGAAAATGTCCTCGATGTCGGCCTTGCTGGGCGCAGAATCTGCCATTTTTTGACGTGTCGTCAGCGCGCGTCACGACGTAATTCTGGGACGCGTGGCGAAAGCTGGTACGCTACGCTCTCCGGGCGCCGCCGGGGGGGTCGGTCGTTGCTCAGTGACGATGCATTCGCGAGCGGAGCAGGAGCCGTAACGGGCGCAACGGGAGGCGCCTGCGATGCCTACGCTCGGGGAAAGTGCACTATATGTTGCAGGTTGCAGATAACGAAGACGCGAACCGGGGGGGGGGGGGACGGGGGGAGCAGAGATTCGCGATCCACGAGGGCGCCGAGCGTCCGTGACAACGATCGTCGCTGCGTCGGACAGCGCGCGCTCCACCTTATCGATTTACCGCGCGCGTAGGAAGTTACTTTATCGGCCCTCGGGTTCGCGTCTTCGCTAAAGCGGGAAGCGCACACTTCTGCACAAATGCATAACGAATGATACTTTTATAAAGTAACTTTCCCAACCCTGCAATTTCTCACTCGACAATGTAAATGTAGAGGAAGGTTCCCTATTCTGAGACAGCGGAGTTTCTGCTGAATTAATAGGCATCGTCTGTGGGTTCCACCATGAATTTATTGCCCTTGGAGAGAAATCTGCTTAGTGGAAGATTGTTTGTTGGGAAATTAATTTAGACGTTGAAAGCCTACTGTCTCATATTAGAATCCTATCTCTTAATGGAGGATTTTCCTCTAATGTAACCGCGATGCTCGGTGCTCACTGGGTAGCCTCGATACAGCAATTCTTGTTCATCTACTCACTCGAATGAGCAGGGTTGGGAAAG